CATACATACATACATTTATGTATTGTTTCTTCTTATTGATTTTTATTGAGCTCTACATTTTCCTTTGCTCCCCTTCCTGCCTATCCCCTCCCTCTTTAACCCTCCCCCAAGGTCCCCATGCTCCCAGTTTACTCAGGAGATCTTGTCTTTTTCTACTTTCCATGTAGATTCGATCCATGTATGTCTCTCTTAGTGTCCTCATTGTTGTCTGAGTTCTCTGGGATTGTGGTTTGTAGGCTGTTTTTTTTTTTTTTTTTTTTTGCTTTATGTTTAAAAACCACTTATGAGTGAGTACATGTGATGATTGTCTTTCTTGTATGGGTTACCTCACCTAAAATGATGTTTTCTAGCTCCATCCATTTTCCTGCAAAATTCAAGATGTTGTTATTTCTCAGGACATTTATTTTTGAGAATACAGACAAGCAAATGTGTGTTTTCAAAAGTCAGGATCTTTTTGGCTGATTTCTCTAAACTCAGTGTGGAAATACTGAGACACTAAGAACTGATAGATAGTCTCAACTATATCTACAATGATCCAGCTGTTGCAGTTTTTAAATGCTGGATTGATCACATATACCCTTAGGGCGGAGATGAGTATCTGCTAGTTATTTCTAGTAAAGATGCCATTTGATAAGTAGAACTCAAGGAGCTCCATTTGCAAGGGAGTGTCCATTTGTGGCTTAGAGCTGAGAACTAAGTCATCGACATGAAAGATCAATTCAGTCAACAATCCGATGTGCCCCCCCCCCACTAGTGTAAAGGCCCAAGCAGAAACATTAAAAACAAGAAAAAAAAAACCCTCTGTGTGTGTGTGTGTGTGTGTGTGCGTGCACGCTCATGTATTGGGTACGATGGCAGGGAGGGGGGTGGCAGGGAGGAAAGTTTAGATTACAGTCCATGTTTGGAAAGATACACCCAAGAAGGAGGCCGAGTGTGGTGGCACATGCCTGTGATCTCAGTATTCTGGAAAGTGGGACACAGGAGGACCTTGAGTTTGAAGATAACCTGGGCTACATAGTGAGACTGTGTCACAAAAGTGGGAAGAGAACAGGGGGTGAGTAAAGGAACAAAGGCAAACCCCATTGAGCAGGATCAGCTACACGGGCAGCTGCTCCTGGAAGCTATTTTTTTTTTTTATTGTTAAAATCTTCTCCTTATCGGTCCCCTCCCTGACTCCATTCTTCATCCCCACCCCCTTTGGAGACAGAGTCCCACTGTGTAGTCCAGTTTGGCTTCAAATTCACTTTCTTTAGGCTTCAGCATCTTTAGCATTGGGGTTACAGGTGTGCCCCCTCCATGCCAGTTTCCTTGTGGTTCTTATTAGTGTTTAGACACAGCTGAATTGTTTCATATGCTCTTAATATGGCAGTGTGAACCTATCCAACTTGTGGTTTGGATGACATGGCCTGCCATAGTTAGGTTTTTCTTTTCCCAGTGGTCCTTCTCAAAAATACAACTTCAATTCTAAACCAGTATACAGAATCTAGGGCAAGTGTCTTAGAATGAAGATCTATGATATTTTAATCCTTCCCATGCAAATGGGGCAGATCTCTATTTCCCACACTTGCTAAAGAACATCTATTTGGAGCAGAAGATGACAAGCAGAACTACTCAGCACAAATTGTTGGTCAATCTTCTCATTTTACCCTCTAGATCTAGCATTCTGTGCTTCATGGGTGCACAGCTCAGGTCCCCTTACATTGTGGACTAACTACCAACTAGGTTAGACTGATGGAAGGAAGGGGCAGAAGAACTCCTTCCTGCCCTGTATCTGGGCAGTAGCTGTTTCCCCTTTCATCATGGCTCTTATTGGATGGCACCTTCTACACCTCTCACTGGGTTCCAGGAACTGCTCCCTCTCTTGTTACACCAGGTGCAGGAGGAAGAACAACTTCCAAGGCCTTTTCCACCATCCCTTCACCCTGTCACCCTCTGTAAATATCCCTTTCATTAGTCATTCCTCCTTTATCCCTGAACGTGCCATCATTTCCTACCTGAACCATCACTGACTTATACTTGACTCTATATTTTCCACATGGTACTGACATACATGGATTGCAGAATCAGAATTCTAAAACTGACCTCGAATACCACATATATTTCATAGGAAATACAACCACAATTCAAGAAAAATATTTATAGTTGTTTTTTTTTTTAAATCACCTAAGTTGCCAGGATAAGGAAGGAATGTTATGAAAACAGCAGTGTCTGACACAAGGCCTTCGGCTATATGGAAATCGGATTGCAGCTTTTGTGAGTTGCTAAATACTGCTGCCTTCAGGTGATCAAATGCCTTCTGTTTGACTTTGTTTTGACCGTTTGTTTTTGAGACAAGGTCTCACTATGTAGCCCTGGTTGGCCTAGGACTCAAAATATAGACCAGAGGACCTTACATCAAAATGATTCTTTTACCTCTGCCTTGTAAGTGCTGGGGTTAAGGGTGTGCCACCACACCCCACTGATGAAATGCTGTTTAACTTAGAGTCTATTGTAGCGTTGCTGAGTGATTGGTGGTATGTCACAAGTGCACTCAGAGATGACATACAGTGGACATACAGTGGAGAGGAATGCTCTTTACTGAGAAGCACAGGCCCGTGACTCTGTACAGAGAAATGTGTTTTTTTTGCAGGGGGAAATACATCTCTGCTCATGGCCCAAGTAGGAGCCCTTCCCGAGTCTGGAATATAATTAGGTTTGGCTTAAGCTAAGTGAAAAAAATAAATCTTGTCCCAAGTGAGAGCTAATCGCTCACCTCTGCCTTTCAAAGTTGTCAAATTCTAAGCCAGAAGTGCGTTCTTTTCTTAAACTTTTCAAATAAGAGCTGTCTTGACCCTAGCATTAGCACAAGCCTCCCACACCCCCACAAAGTGAATTGACCCTGGGGAGAAGAGGGTCAAAGCTTAACAAGAGATGTTGGGCGGGGGGTGGGATGGATTGGTCGCCCTGCTTGAAACCTGTGCCAGCCTGGGCAATTTGGGTTATGGCAGTTTCTAGAGCATTGGCTCTAGGTTGTCTTGGTTCTAGATTTGAGATGGTTGTTTCTGGAGCACAGGGCTGCTGTAGGTTGTCTTGGTTCTATGGTTTGAGATGGTTGTTTCTGGAGCACAGGGCTGCTGTAGGTTGTCTTGGTTCTAAAGTTCTTGACATTCAGGTCTTCTGCAGGCTTTATAGCAAACTTGGTTCTCCACCAGATCTCTAGAGAGCAAAGGCTCCAACTTAACAGCTGCACTTCCCAGATCTTTCTTGGAAAGGTGACCAGGGTCACACTGAATCATCTCGAAAGAGCCCAGCACAGAACAGACCACTTGACTCCATTCCAGGACACCTTAACTTAAGTCTAGCATTCTCAGGTGAATATTCACTTGACACTTTTCTCCCTTTCACACCAGTGACAGAACTAAAAAACAAAATCAGCTTTTCTTTCTTCAAATTTAACCGTGTATGTACTATGTCAAAGTAATTGCTGCTTCTCTCCTCTCCCTGGAAAATGAGTCAGTAACCGAAACAAGCATGGCCAATGGGACAGGGCCGCCAAAGAGGAAATGTCATATGCCTTCTAGGTATTATTTTTTTCTAAGTTGCCTTTGAAATGTCATGAACAATGGGTGATTGTTAGATAAAGTTTTGGTATTCAAATTCTTTTATGTGTAAATTGGTGCAAATGAATCAATAGAATTTAGTCACCAACATGCAAGGAGCAGAAGCACACAAGGAAATAGAGTCCTAGAGACTGACTAGTTGACTGACTAGTTCTTAAATAAGTGGCTGAACAGACCTGAGGAGATGGCTCAGTGGTTATAGCCCTTTTGTGCAAACATGAGGACTAGAGTTTGGATATCCAGAACCCACATAATTTCTGGGCTGGCAGAGAGAGGACCCCCAGAGCAACGTGTCTAGCTAAACTGGTGAGGTTATATTGGTGAGCTCTTCATTTGACCGAAGGATTCGACCTCAGTGAATAAAGTAGAAAACCGTGAAGGATAATTCCCAACAACCTGTGCAGGCACACATACAAAAAAAATACATGCAAGCCATGCTTAAAATTGGCCATAATAATTAATTAATAAATAATTTAAGTGGCTTAAATTATGATATTGTGAGCTTCCAAGTGTATCATTTTGTTCCCATTGTAATATGCCCATTTCAAAAAATTCTTAGGTATTGCTCTGGAATGGGTGCAGGGGGACAGTGTTGCCTGAGTGTTAATAATTTTTCACTCTGAGATTTTACGAAGACATCTGATAAAAAGAATCAAAATTCCAGATTCAAAATAATCAGAATTTTATGCTTGAGGATCATACCGCAGGCCTCATTGTTTCCCTGGGTATAATTTCTTGGCATGAAACACTGGGTGGAGGGGGGTATTTATTTAGACCTGTCTAGATTTTTAGTTGTTAAACTTTGCCTGCCATGCTTAAATTTATACAAAGGTGAATTATTTATTCATTTTATTAAAGGTAAGAGCTAATTTGATACAGACAATTTGTATCAGAGATGCTTAGGTATTTGATGTCTTTCTAAGTGATCACCAAGTTTGATAACTAATTATGGAAAATAGCTTTGAGTAAACAATGAAACTTGAGAAACAATTAAATTTGAAAAAATCAGCCATGCCATAATTTTATCTGCCATTCAATCTGCCCTCCAATTGACCATGTTAAAAGACTGAAAATTGAAAGCAAAACTCTCTTTGAATATCAAGAACTCCACTGAATATCTTAAAACTTGAATTTACAACAAACACACATTTTAAAAACTTGCCAAGAATTAATTTGAGCTGGGCAATGGTGGTACACGCCTTTAATTCCAGCACTTGGGAGGCAGAGACAATCTCTGTGAGTTTGAGGGAAGCCTGGTCTACAGAGTGAGTTCCAGGACAGGCTCTAAACCCTGTCTTGAAGAACAAACAACAACAACAACAAAAACCAAAAAAAATTAAACAAACAAACAAAAAACCAAACCAAACCAAACACCCCCCCCCCCAAAAAAAACCCCTAATTTAATTTTTTCAACTTTCATTTCACTTACAGACGCCATGCCTATGCTAACTGCAAACTATTCTTGGAGAATAAGTACGCTGAAGACTTCCACTTTTCCACGTTTTCTTTCAGAGTTTAGTTTGTAGCGTTTCAGATGTGTTTATACCATAACTCTGACTAACATGTACACGCTCACTGAAATATTTTAATGCTGAGTTTAAACCATGCCGAATGTTTGGAAATACATTGAGCTATGACTCACAGTTACATGGTTTCTTCTGTAGTATGAGTCAAAATATGTTCCTTAAATAAAAATACCGACAGAAGAGTTGGCTGTGACCCAGTCAGTCATTTGTAAGGTGGATGTGGATGTTAGTCCTGTCCCTAGTATCAACGCCACAAGGATTCCAGTATACCTGAAGAATGGGCTCGAGTTTTCAGATTTTGATTTTAAAATCTGGCCTCAACTATGAAAAAGCTTCCCCAACAAAAACTGAAAAGCATTCATTAGAATTAATTCTTTTACTATTTCTTTTTGAGAAGGAAATTTCTAGTCTTCTTCAGTAGCATCATCACAACAGACAACACAAAATAAATAACTTGATACCAGGACAAGGCTCCTAGGGGAAGGGTGAACCAAACCGGCCTTAACCACATCAGTGCAGCCCTCTCAGGGTGGCAGAGTCCTGATTGGAGAGGACGCCCACAGGCACAAAGTTACAACGTTACAGTTAAAGGGACTGATGACTTTCAAGTTCATGGTCCAAATAGAGTCCATTAAGCAATCACAGGACAGCAACTTGTCTGTCTCGATTGCTTCATCGCTTGCACGAACTGACTTCCTAGAGAATGAGTTTCGCTTGGCCTGACTGCACACTGCATTTATAACAGCAGTGGCATCAAAATTTAAAACAGGAGACAGGAACCACGTAGAGTTTTAAACAAATTACAAAACCACATGCTTGGTTATTCAGCAGGAAAGCTTATATCAACTGGGTCTTAGACGCAGCTGGTTGTCCTACAAAGGTCACATAGCATGAGCTGTAGACAGCCTCTGAGATCTTCCACGAAGGGCCTTGCAGTTTCATTTTGTTCCTACGCCAGCTCTTCACGTTTCTCCAAGGAGGCTGTTTAAAGGCCTTTGCAGAGGCTCCCTTGTGAAGTGCATCCTCATAACTGTCCACAAAGGTCAGTCTGTTTAGTGGCACTGGACAGGGTAGGACAGGAAGTCCGTGAAACCTCTTGTGTTCTCAATGAAGTCCGGCAACAGAGGACTGAACGCATTAGTCTCAGGACCGGTGGCCTAAGGATGGCAAAGACCCAAGGGTCAATTATAGAGTTAATTGATAAAAATCTAAGAGCTTGGAGGTCCAAGTTTTCCTTTCGGGAAGAGGTTTCATTCACATAAGCAAAGATCTGAAAGGAGAGAAAAAAACAATGTTAGTTTTATATTGTAAGCAAGCTGACTTAGATCCCATCATCTCTTGAGATTCAGCCTTGTTTTGTGTAGTAGCAGCAAGTGGAAGGGCGGGTGGAAAAAATCTTCTATGTAAATCATAACTTAATCTTTTTTTTTTTCTGTGAACTTAATGAAAGCAAGTACTCTAAGGGTTACAGTTAACATTGGCATCATATACAAAACTTTCTAATCTTGTCCCTGGGAATGGAGGGAAATTAATAAACTTTTCTTGGCACCTAGAATAGAATCTGCTTTCCCTTTAGATGATCTCATTATATAGCCCAAACTGACCTCAACCGCATGATCTGCCTATAACCTCTCAGGTGAGGATTGCAGGTGTGAGCCATTGTGCTTTGCCAAATAGAATATTTTAATAATATCTGTAGTCATGATGATACTATTTGTAGCTTCTGTTTGTCGATAGCACAATATGTGTGCTGTGAAACACACTGGGTCATTAACCTGCTTTCTTTGTAGTCCTACGGAAGCCATAGCAGATGAGGAATTAAGTTTCAGAAATGTTAAGAATAACGTTACACTTCTAGATATCTGGCTTGATGTGACTATCACGATTCAGCAAGAGAGAGCAAGCGAGCATATCAGTGGGAGAACTGGTTCTGAGTATTGCACTGCTTTGACCTGAATTTAAGTCTGTCTGTAACTTTAGTATCGTGGGAAGAGACTGTGAGCCTGTCCTCACAGGTCATCGGAAGCAACACTTGGGCTGTGCCAACAGAGCTCCTGTAATAGTGCTCTACAGAGTAGGTGAGTTGTGACCTCACTTCACCAAGGAGGACACAGGGGCACTTGCCATGGATCTAAGGCTGGCTAGTAGCCTAGGAAGGGTGCAAATCCAAGACTTCTGGAACTGGTATGCGCTCAGTGCATATTACATCCAGGTCAGTGCTGCAGGAGGGGCCTGCAGAATTATGTCTTAAGCTCTGGGAAGTGGACAGACACACTTTTACACGTGGATTGGCATTTCCAGACCGGTATTGGTGCTCTCCTTTGACTCAGTGCAGCAGATTGGCAGGGAGTGGTATGGACTTGGTGGCTATACCTCTTCATTCCAGCCTACAGAGAGGAAGAGTTCGAACGTGGACCACACCTCATCATCTAACTAACACAGTAATTCTTGGTGTGCCAGGGATCCTCTGGCCTAGTCTGTGACGTAGGGAAGCCAACCACTTCTCTGATACTTTTCCCCGAAACAACTCATTCCTTCCCTTTCTCCCGTACTTACTCCGCAGCATCTGGGAACTGGATGTACCAAACAGATTGGAGGGCGAGAGAAAAGTAGTCATCTTTGGGTTGCTTATGTTAGGACAATAGCAGGAAGGTTTGGCAGCCAGAGGTGTTTATGCCAGAGAATCTTGGCATGAGGAATGGAGAAAAGAGTTGGCAGATGAGTAAGGAAAAAGAAGAATTGATGGTGGGCTTCTCAGACCTCAGAGAGAAGAGTTAGGTAGGGCTATGCAATGGGGCACTAGTCTTCTAGTCTGCTGTGCTATTTTGGATGCAAAATATTCAGTTACAGTTTTTATATATCATGATATTTTATCATGTGAATTTTTTTCTTTATGGTGTGGGACTTGAACTTGGGGTCTCATATATGTTTGGCAAGCATTCTACCACGAGCTATATTCCCAACTCTATTGTGAGGTTTAGAGATCTAAAAGTCTGTAGTTGCGGGAGAGAATGCCCCTCCTTAGGATGGCTAATTATTGCAACCAACAAAGGACTCCACAATGAGTATGTCTTTGCTACACACATTACTAACCAGTCCTGAGATATACCTCCTCCATAGACCCCCCAACTCATAGTAATGTTCTCTCCTTAACGATCCAGGGTCCTGTTAACAGGCAACCAAGGACTGCCTTGTAGCTGACAGCCTGTCATAATTACCCAAGTTTGCCATCCGAATCCTTTTACCTTGACATGTCTTTCCTGCAGAAACCCCAATAAAGACCACAGCCCAGACCTTGCCATCTCCCTGACTCTTCTGCATCCTCACCTATGTATGCACTGGCACTGCCTGAATTTTTCATGAATCTCTTCTTGGAAATGAACTTGACTGACGTTAATGTAAAAAAAAAAGTACCTATTACCACCACCTACCTCCAAACTCAAAGTGTGGACCTTCCTCTCTCCCTATGGCTGATCCTCAGTTCTTAACAAACAGTTGACATAGGAGAGACACAGGAGTGATGTTTTGGTGATGTTCTAGAATTTAAATTTGGAGGTTGGTGGGAATGCATTCTCCTTCTGGCATTGACCAGAAAGAAATTGACCAGTAAGAAAATGCCAGGTCCTAGTTTAATGAATCCAGTGAGTTACCTGCTTGACCCCTGCCCCCGGTTTTGCAAAGACTGTGGTACATATTGAGTGATGCAGACAGGAACCTGCTGTTTCGGCCATGTCTGAGGCAGCCGCCCCTGGAAAGCTGGCAATGGTCAGGGGCTATCATTTAAACTATTCTCCTATCTTTAATCCTATATGAAGTGGGTTCAGAATTCTAGAGTGAATGAGCGCTTCACTTGGGAAGATATAAAACATTCAGTTGCTTTTCTTCTTTGGCATAGTCAGTCTTGGCTAAACCATGGGCTTCAGTGGCGGGGGTGATCTGATAGCCTCCCCACAGGAGTGCAGACTCATTTTAGAGAGAAGGAAGCCGAGGCTAGAAGACTAGTTACTTTGCCTTAGGAGTCAAACTGCAGTGATGGAGCTCCAACTTCTGTGTCTGTCCTGAGGCAGTATCTGGGCACGGGCATACAAAACCTTTGAGACAAAGCTTCCTGTGAGATTGACGAGTGACCACCTGACACTTCTGTTCAAGGGTGTCACGAAGGCCTGTGACTATCCCTCTTCTCTTTAGAGATGGAGACTTTTCAAAGTCTCTGTTTGGCTCTTCTCCATGGGGCTTCCCTTTCATCAACACTTACCAACAGCTAACTTGCAGGCAGCACTTACTCTCTGTTCATCTGTCTTTCGAAAGATGTTGTGGTCTCCTAGCTACAGGCATTGCACAATTAACTCTTAATTTGTTGTTCTTGTTGTGGTGGTGGTGGGCCATGCTTTAAAGAAATCCTTTCTCCCTAAACATGTCTGTGGTACATGGAAACTTAACCCTACTTTACTTCATAAGAAAAACAAAAACAAAAATCCGCGGCATGAATATGGCTCCAGCATGAGAATGGCCTTGGCACTGTGTGCCTTGAAAGTGCAATGGCGACTCACTGCTGAAGTCTACAGCTCTGGGTTGAAACAGCCCAGGACAGTGGCTCTGAGGAAATGATGGACAGCAGGATTCGCCCGCCCAGGAGTCCCCTAACATATTTCACAGCTGGTGTAGGTATGACTCCCCCACCCAGGAGTCCCCTAACATATTTCACAGCTGGTGTAGGTGTGACTCCCCCACCCAGGAGTCCCCTAACATATTTCACAGCTGGTGTAGGTGTGACTCCCCCACCCAGGAGTCCCCTAACATATTTCACAGCTGGTGTAGGTGTGATCCATGTGAAGGACCAGGAGGGAGTCGGACAGAGGCAGACAGATAGGGAAAGGAGCCATAAATACATAATGTTGACAAACTCCCAGCCTTTTCTTTATACATATGACTGAAGACAAAGACCTAAAGTTCTGTCTTTTTCCCCACTAGTCAATCCCCCTCCCCACTACCGTACCTCTGCTGAAGGACCAGCAAAACAAGTTCGAGGCTGGATCAGGGCACGTTTACCTCAAACTTGTGGAGCTAATGGCCTCCTTGTCTTTGGTCAGACAGAGCAACACTGAGTTGGGGAAGGCTCCTCACAGACCCTGAAACCCAGGCTTCCTTCCGGGAGAGGCGGGGCTTCAGCTTCCCCAGCTCACCTCTGCTTTGTGTTTCCTCTCCCCGAATAAATGCCTTTCTTCACTTGTTGACTCTGTCTGCTGTGTCTGAGGCCTTTCCCTGCTGTTACCCGTTACACTGGAGATTCTCCCTGCCTTTAAATTTCCTCATTGGCAGAGAAAACATACTCATCCAAGGCCTCAGACAGTATCACATGTACCGCCCATGGAGCAGAAATCAACACCCCTTGTCCACAGGAAGTTTCAGCCTTCCCTAACCGCTTTCCCTTTCTCTGGCCTTCATATTACACAAGGGTCCTAGTTTCACAGTGCTTAACCCTGTTCTCAATTTAGGGACCAGTTTAGGTAGCAAAGCTGTCAGAGGAATGCAGCTTAGTGAGCCCAGTGATGGGAATTGTGGTACAGTGGACACAAGCTCAAGATCTGAATGGGGATTAAAGGTCAGAAACTCAAAATGGGACAGGAGAGGCCAAGCCCACAGAGCAAGCTGTGATTAACTGAGAGTTAAGCCCCTACCTAGAAAGAGATGTGTTGGCTGGTGGTCCTGAGACATGGTAGCTATTGTTTTTAAGTTCACACTGTGATGTTGGTGTGCGAAAGAGAAGGAGGTGATCTCAAAAGCATGGTGTTTTTTTTTTTTTTTTTTTTTTTTAAAGCTGAAATCCTAGTCTGAAATAACAGCAAAGATCCACCTAACTGTGAGGATAAAGAGCTCTAATTCTCTGTCGGGGGAAAAAGGCGATGCTTCTTACAGACTGTATTTTAAAAAACCACCAGAACTGTGTCCGTATTTACAGTCACCACTGCAGAATAGCAAATTGGTGGAGCAAAAGATATCAACTGAAAACACTCACACGGAGGAATGTTCTCTTAAAAGGAAATGCGTATTTCAACGGTTGCGACAATTGTCAAACACATCACTAATGATACCTCAATGATGAAGGGCATTCCAGCTGCTTATGAACATTCACTTACATATCACCACACTAAGTTCTCCATGGGCACCCAGAGACTTCTAGGTTTCTCTTCCATCACTACCTGAAGCTTATAGTTTATACCCTTGTGACTTTCACCACCTGTTTACCTGACATTTGGCACGAGGGAAACCAGAAATGAACAGCAATGAACAGGAAACTCCAGGATTGTTTGCTTCAAATTTTTCTATAGTGTGAAGATCAGATTTCCACTAATCAGATTTGCCTAGAAATTCTATCCCTGGAAAATTTGTAAAAAAAAAAAAAGATATTTTTTTTAAGTGAGTCAATGGCAGGTTCTTGAAATTTTAGAACTGAATAAAATGCATAAGCGCTTTATCCTAGTGGCATGTGGAGAAGAGTTTAAAATGCCCAGAAGCTAAGCACAACTATCAAAGTGCTGAGAAAGTAGCTAGCTGAGCAAGGGTTGGAAATTGAGAAACAGAGAGTATTTGAGACAAGAATGGAAGGTTCATATGTTTCCCTTGCGCTGTTCCATTTCAGGAAGAAAAACAGCTTTATTTGTCACTGTGAAATGATGATAACAGTTGATTAACATAAGGAGGAATATATTAATTTATACATAATGAATAAATAGTTTGGACATGTTGTTGGTCTCATGTATGATTTCATACTGGACAATCAAAGTCCTAAGCACCACATCACATGCTTTTTAAGTCACCGAAGAAATGTTTTATGGGCATCAAAGGAAGGTTTTATGTGAGGGCTAATCTGATTATTTCTTAATTTAGACTAGCATTTACACTAGCCAATCTCCTAAAATCTCAGTCCCAGGCTTGTATTTCACAGGACTGCAGAGAAAGAAAATGAAGCAACATGATTGTATTAGCATGTGTGTGTGTGGGGGGGGGACAGCGCTAACAGGCTGTTTTATTTTTAAAGCTAGTAAAAGTTAGAATAAAGAGACAAGGTGGTCCAAATATTTATTATGTATTCCCAATTCTCTTGTGAAACCATAATTGGATCTTCTCCCATGTTACTCTTAAAATGAGAACTTTCTTTTAGATACTATTACTATTAATACATTGCATCCAGCTCTGCTACTCCCTAGCTGTGGGCCCAGGAGGAAGTTACTTGACTCATCTACACAATAGGATACATCTTGGAGGTTGGTGTGAAGATAGCGAGTTGATGTAAAAATGCACCCTCAGAACCCTAAGTCTTTAGGTGTCACAGTAGTGGTACGCTAGGCTGAACTGAATTCATCTCAGTATACTGAACGTTTTCATTTTTCTATTTTGAGAGTTTTAGTTCCTGAACTTTGGAGGCCCTGGACTGACATCCTAGAAGGAAGGACTCCACTGCTCATAACCTGGGAAGATGGCTGATATTAGCAGTTCATTGCTAACTCTGGATTTTCTGAGTCCCATCTTTTTCCGTGGCCAGAGAACTGCAGAACTGACCGGGGTCCCACCAGCTCTGGCTGTGAATGCTACTTTTTGCTGGCTAGAGTCTGACATACTTCTGAGGAAAGTAGCAAAAACAGTTCTTGCTATTCTGAGTAAAAAATGGTCAGTGGTCCCAAATATAAAACACTCTACCTATAAAGCTGAAGCCTAGGAGCCATGTTGGTTTCTAAACCACATTTCACTACACAAACTCTCCTGCTGGGGTGCCTAGGGAGTTGCTACCTTCCACAGCCCAACTCCATCTTATTCCCCACTAAGTATAACTTACCAATTCAGACCATCTGCTCCAGGGACAGAGCTACCAGTGTGAGGGTAACGGGGAGCAGAGCAAAGAGAATATGGTTGAGAACGGGGGTTCTTTGGGGACGTGGTTCATATCCGAATCTCTTTATGTCCCCAAGGAAAAGTAGATGATACCAATCAGAAGCATTGATGAGGGCAGGAGACAGGAAAGAGAGACAACTGTAGCTTCTATGTGGTTCATCTTCCCTTAGCCACCATTCATACCATCATTTCCCAAATCCCCAGTTTATTGCTCTCCATGAGAGGTCAGAAGGCTCCAAATTCAATTCTGCTTCCACATTAGACTTTAGGAGCTCAGGATCTATTTTTAGAACTAATTTGTTTAGAGCTAATGGTCCCTCTAACCGCACAGCACCCACACTTCTACCCTGGCCCTGCCTCCATTGCCCAGGAAGCCTTTGCTCTGCTTCCCTGAGATGTACCAGCTGTTGCTGCAAGTTCCTTCGTGTGCATCAAGTGCACAGCTACAGAATGGCTAACATCTGTCTATATTCCTGACAGTGACATTAAGAGAATAATTTGAGGTTACAAGTGTCTCCTGTGAGGGATGAAAAAAGCACTATGTAACAGTTGATCCTTTCCTCTCATTTTCATGACCACACAGACATGTACTCTAATATGTAAACTGGTGAGTCTCTCAACTAGATTTTTGGCCTTAAAATTCCTAAAGTCGAATGCAAGCGGCTGTAAACTTCTCCACCAAGGAGTCTCTGAATGCTATGGGCCCGCAACTACATTTTGCCTGGGAGAAATGAAAGCACCAAGGGATGAGGCTTCAAGCCCTGCAAACTGAACTCCAGTGGTTGGCTTATAACAGGACAACCGTCCTACCCTGGAAGGACTCCCTCCTCTTCAGTTACCAACCAACCCAGGGAAGGGACCATGGAGAAGGTTCCTGTAGGGCATAGAAGAACTGCTCTCTTAGGAAAGTTCATGCGTAAACGCTGGGGGCGGAAGGAAGTGGGCAAAGGTGAAAAGGGAAAGCAATGATGGCAATAGACCTTTATAAATTAGGGCACTTTGTTTTCCAAGTTGCCAGTGAGTGCCCGGAGGTAGAACGGGTAGGTGAAGGGAGTTTGAGGCAGCTGCATGCTGCTGGGCTGTGGAAACAAACGAAGGACTTACTGTGAAAGGCAAGGAGCAGATGGCGAAGGTGATGGTCATAATGGCCAGGAGAATGAGGTGGTCCGTCTCCTCCGCCATCGAAGTCCTTTCTCCTCTCCTGCGCGACCCAGGGCCACCCATGCCACGGCCGAATGATCCACAGCGGCTTCTCCTGGCCCGACGGTGCATGCGGATGAGGTTAAGGATGACGCTGAAGTTGCAGGCGAGCACCGCCAAGATGAGCAGCAGCAGCACCGTGGCATAGAGCTGCAGGTATGCAGTCTGCCCGTGCCGGATGAAGCACCATGTCCCGGGACAGTACTGGACGTACTCCCCGTAGTTGAGCAGCGGTAGGGAACAGAAGAGCAAAGAGACCGCGTAGATGACTGGCAGCACCGCCAGGCCCCCACGACGCGAGAAACGGCGCCGGTAGAAGTAAGGGTGTCCGATGGAGAGGTAGCGCTCCAGGGCCATCGCAAAGAGCATGAGCATCGTGGCAAGACTGAAGAAAGTCATTGTGAAGGCGAAATAGGTGCACACGCGGCTCTCGGGAGCCAGAGCCACCAGTGTCTGGTTCCGCGCATAGGAAGCCAGGACCACCGGACTGATGAGACAGGTCCCCAGCAGGTCGGTGAGCACCAGCTCTGTCACCAGCACGTGGAACAAGGAGATAGAGGTCCTGCTGCCGGCACTGCACCCCGTGTCCCCGCGCCAACGGCGTGCCAGCAGCGCCAGCGCAATAAGGTTCCCCAGAACCCCGGCCGAGAACATCACTGAGCTGATGGCTGGGCTATCCTCCGGGAGGAGCCACTGTCTACTCTGGCAGTCCTCCGTCTGCCCGGAGTCATGGGAGGCATTATCCATGGTGGAGGGCTTGGACAGCAAGAGGGTCTGAGGGCCCCGGTGCTCCAAGACACAGAAGGGAAAAGGGGAGGGACCGAAATCCAGAGCTCCCTTCCGGCCCCCAGCTCGCGCCAAGGGCCGCTTCGCCCGGGTCTCCCGCTTGCGCGCCCAGTGGCCACTTCCCTGAAGCATCATCAGGTCGCCCTCGAGGTTCCTGCGCCTCATCCGCTCTGGCTGCTGGGGAGAGCTTTGAGGGGTAGCCCACAACCCCCATGCCCGCGCCGTCTGGGGGCAGGTCCAGTAGTGGCTGTCAGGCAAGCAACTTCCATTGTTTGCGAGCTGCTGCTGGGGTTGTTGGTGGGGGAACAAGGCGAGATGCACTAGCTGGGCTCTAGAAGGGGGTCCAGCGTCCACCCTGAGCTGACTTGTAGGGTCTTCATTCCCGCGGAGCATCCAGGATGCTTGTAGGGTCGTCTGACTTCAGCTCTGAAGCCTTTAGCCCTAGCAGACGGCTGGGAACCAGTGCAGGGTAGTAAGGCTGAGGTAACAGAATAGCAAACTAACTCACTAAACAGAAGTTAGGAGGACCCAGTCCTGTGAGATGTAAAGAACAAAGGAACTAAGACTTCAAGACAACTTGAAGTGAGAACAATATGAGAGAGGTTGTTGCTTTGCATTTTTTTTTTACATTCCCAAGAAGATACTCAACATGGGTGAGACAAAAACCGGAAGGAAGTGAAAGTAAGCCGGTTCATCCACAGAATGGAACTATACACACCATCACAGAACGTCCTGTTGTACAGTTAATAGCTTTGAGTCAGTTACCAGAATTTTTTTTTCCTATGCCAACACTATAACAAATGACAACTTGCTTAAGCAACCTTAACAAAACAAACGGGAGAGGTTTTTGTGATCGTCTAGAATCATGTTTGTGTCCATAGATCGAAACTGCACTTTAGCGTTCCTCTACTCAACTCAAGCCAATCTTGAAGAAACTGTTGATAGGCTGTTTAGCCTTTCATTTATCCTCTCATGGTCAGTTAACCATGAAGGCCTATTGGAAAGATTCATTCCTGGGAGTGTGTTGCTAACTGGCCAGTTTCACAATGGAGCTGACACAAATAGTTGCTTAGCACCTGTTGTCATAGTTACAGAGTAGCGAAAGCGCACCGATGTTTTGAAATTTTCAAATCCAGCTTGACAGACAATGTAGGCAATCATATGCTACTTGAAAAGGCATATTTCACATGAGAAAAGAGACTGCTTCAAGACAGGTTTGCACAGGAGCCTGGTACAAAGAAAAAAGCAAAGGAAAGATGAATTGCAGAGCGCATCTTGCTTCCTTGACTTTACCATGATTCTGGCCTGGGGACTGGAGGACCGAGAGAGGGTTTTCTAGCAAAATAAGGGAAGCAGAATTTATTTGTGAAGCCTACAGGTTCATTTTCCCGCAACAGCAGCTATTCACTCCAGTGCTAACCTTCTTAGGGCGCTGGTGGAGTGGGTGTCAAAACTCTAGTTTTCTTTCAGGCTGCAAGCTGCCGGGCAGTAGCATCCTCAACCGAGCCACCCAAGGTGAACCATTCCCCATCTCATCCCAAGCGACTGTGTGAATGAGAAGAATTGGCGTGATTCTGTTGCAGTTTTTTTTCCCACTGTGTTCATTTTCCAAATGCTTTTGTACACTTTCCATTTTCATAGGCCACTTATAGCCAAAGCCTCTTGTTGCACTGTTTCTATATATTTGTCTTTAGCTTTTCGCTAGATGAGTGCATGGTGGCAGGACTCCTCTGACTTTAATGGATGCCAGAGAACAATTGCAGAGCCTCACCCCAAACTTTGCCTTTAACTTGCTAGTCTCCACCCCGTCTCAGTTGTACACTGTGAGAAGATACTCACAGAGGTGGGTGGACAAACTAGTTTCTGATGACCAAGCTCTGTCTACATCCCTTCCTCAAAGACAGCCCCTCAGATCCTAGGATATAGACCCCATGCATATGGGACATCCTTGGGTAAAGCTGGCGGGGATGGGGAGAAGCTAGTGTGAAGCCTGGAAACAAGCTGAAGGCAAACATTTAAGCAGGGAATTTGTGATCTCAGGTGCCAGGAAGTTTTTCTACAGTACAGGTGGCTTTGGGGCTCAGTGAGTAATCCCTACTTATGGGTGGATTTGCCACAAGACATAGATCAGAGCTGGCTCTTCTAATTTTGGGAGTTCATATCTCACCAGTTTCTCTATTGGGCTACATGCTTTCAGTTGCTACATTCTCAAGTTACCATTTTTGTTTGTTTGATTGTTCCAGTATTTGGACAGAGAGAGGTAGCAGTTTCAGAAGTCTGGCAGGAGGTTTAATTTGCTACTCCTACTTCCTCAGCTAAGGCCATCAGGTTTGTTCCAGTAAATCAAGTCTCATCGTGCAGTTAAAGCGACTTCTTCTTGTCTCTAACTGTAGTGTCACCATCTCTCCGTACAATGTCAGTTTATCCAGAGTCTAGAGATTCTTAACAGAAAACATACTAACACCCTCAGTTCTAGAATTGAGCCATAAAGCTTTGCTAATTTTCAGTTCCTGTTTGTGAGGCCATTGTATTTGGGGAACACCATGTGATTAGTAATTTTGTGTCAACTTAGCCAAGCATGGGGTGCTCAGGGGCTGATTAAACAGCCCGATTGTGTCCTGGGAAGGAGTTCTAAAAGAACTAAATATCCTCTCCTGTGGACTGACTAATGAAGTCCAGTGTAGGTGGACCTCCTCGGGTCTGTTGGGTGCTGAACAGAACTAGAAACGTAGAGGAGGGTGGATTCCCAGACTAATCTGGGGCCTTGATCTGCCCTTTGCGTTCCTGATTCTCAGGCCTTCAGACTGCCTAGAATCCGAACCCTCCACTTTCCAGTTTCGAGACCTCTTCCAACTACAACATCAAATTTACAAGTAGACTCACATAGAGACCTGCGTGTAAATTAAAGGCTGGGATAACAGTTTGAGAAGGTTGTTGCTAGGCAGATTTGTGGTTTAAGTGTGACGTACACTACTGATAAAAACATTATGTATCATATGATTGTGTATACAGAACACACATACTCTTCTATTTCTCTGAAGAACTCTGACACATACATATTTCTTGAAATCTAAAATTCATAGTTTTCTTTTAATCTGTAACTCAAGGGCTTTGAAAGACAAGCTGCTGTAGGTCATTATTCAAAAGAAGGCGAAGGTAGACATGAAGGGAAGGAGAACTACACAGAGGAAGCCGACGTCAGTGCTTGCATGGTTCTGCTTGTATTAGCCCCATCTTTCAAAACACCAAATCTTTGCTTCATGATTTCTTTGCACGTCTTACCAATTTGTTTTGAAGAGAGCTCTAAGAGCGCCACCTGTGCCCTCTAGTAAACAAGACAAGGGTCGCATTGCTTCCCTCTGGCAGACAGAAGTCACTGAAAATCGGAGAGATGGGATTTAACGAATGGTTTTCAGCGGCAGTTTACAGAGGACCAGTTTTCTTGCTTCTAGGCTTCTTGCTGATGGGTGCTTCCTGTCCTCCAACTTTGTCATTCCTCACGCTTTGGATTTGTGTAGCCAGGATCTTCCCCTTGAAGGTGCAGGTTCCTTCCTAGGCAAGTCAAGATTCAGCCAGAGCAGGGCAGTGGTGGCGCACGCCTTTAATCCCAGCACTCGGAAGGCAGATCTCTGTGAGTTCGAGGCCAGCCTGGTCTAGAAGAGCTAGTTCCAGGACAGGAACCAAAAAAAGCTACAGAGAAACCCTGTCTCGAAAATAAAAAAAAAAAAAAAAAGATTCAGCCAGAGAATCTTTAGCAATAAAGAATGCGGAATTCATTATTCAGTACAAAGCTTGCATTGCTCAATAATCTAGTCAGTAGCCACATGACAGTTTAAATTTAAATTAATTAAAGATAAAATTATAGTTTCTCAAAATATGCTTAGTCAGTCTGGTACATTTCAAGCCACATGTGACCCTTCTACCAGGAAGCTGATATATAAAATACTTCTTTTCATTTCAAAATTTATACATGTTGCCTTAGGTCCTACCTGATGTGGAGATTGATGGGGGAGACCACAATGTTTGTGGCTATATTTGGTTCTTGTTTTGAGCCTGAATCACATTCAGGACAAATTAGAATGGCAGTCAGAGTGGACCTCTGGGTGCACAGGAGAGCAAGAGCAGACCAGAACTATGAAGGTAAACTAGAGCCCACGGAGGACTGAAGTCTTAGAGGGTAAACTGGACCTGCTGTGTCTTTACTAATTTCAGCCTTAGTGGCATCAGTACCCCTAAGAAAAAGCTTGATGATCTAAAGATGTGGTTCCGGCTTGAGACTTGAAGATACCACTGATGGAGACTGAGGAGGTTCAAGCCCAGATGATGTTATGAAGCAAGATCAGGGGGAGTGTGTGAAAGCCACCAACATGTCCGGGGCTTTACATTTGTTTCTTTTGAGCAGGGACACCATAATGCTATTTCTTGGCTGCTCTTCAGGTCACATGTGACATGTCACTTGTGATCATCACTAGACTGGGACCATGCAAGGATTCTAGATGACAGTTTCTGTTTGGCTTGGATGATGTGAGCAAAGCTACCATACAGCTCCTCCACAGGTTCGGGCATTTTGTCTTCAGTGAAGACCTGCTTCCCTCCTCCCTCACCTGCTTTCTCACTAGAAAAGCAAAAGGCTTTCCAGGAGCATTGAAACAGGCAAAGAAGAGGCTGGAAACAACTTTTGGATTAGTCAAAAACATTTGTTAAAGAGAGAGAGAGAGAGAGAGAGAGATCTTATTTGAAGAGGAAGGCACATTTACTTCCTGGTTTGAAAATTGGTAATCATGGAGACAATTAAACAGTATTCAAACTTTCTATAAGAAATGTATCTTAAGGTAACTAAATAGGTTCAAGTAATGAAAGTTGTACTGTAAAGTAGACTGTTCACGTAAAATGTAGAATGCAAGACAGAATCAGAAAAACTACATCCTCTAATTCCTAATAAAATTAGTGATTGAGTTAAG